ATCATTACTTTAAAATAATTTCCTTCGGCATTTTCACCTAATCCTCAAATCCTGCAATTAGAAAACATAAGCTTTTAAAAAACCTGTAAAAATGATCATGAATAAGTCGGTATTCTTCGAAAACAATAAAACGCGAATAAAGTATTGGGTAGCAAATCTTATTTCAACGACTCGATACTTATCCAATTGCATTGTAAATCTCGAGAAACATAAAATAAAGCTCGCCTATAAAACACAACTTTGATATAAAAATAATTGCCGGTCTTAACGGCGACCACAAATCTTTATTGGATTGGTTCCAATTCGATACTGTAACTAAATTTCGAACTGGCGATATATGGAGACAACTCTACCTTTTTGACATTTAATGCCCGGTTTCTCAATATTTGCCCTTATTGGTTCCATAACTATGTAGTGGATAAAGTTATAAGACCGATAAGATTTTATGGGTTTCCGAACGGTGACAGACAAAGGTATATCGAGCTCATAACAATCCGTTGGATAAGTAGCTTTTTAATTCGACCGACAGAGGGAACTGCTTGATAGGGTATGTTCCATTTTTGACTGGTAGTACGGAAGGTGTGAAATACCGGTAAAAAAGAAGCGGATAGTAAAGAACTTTCACTTTTGTGCATCGCAAGATAGAGGACGCCACAAAAAAACTCATTTTGATCGGTCGGTGGAACAGCCACAGATTTGATGTAAAAGCTCTCGGGTTTTTATCTGAATTCAGCACTGTTCACTAACGGATAATAAATTCCTTCTCATAGTATATGTTTTAAGGTAGTCGCCAATATGGTCCAATAATACCCTGAAACAGTGTTTCGTTAAACGAAACCTGTCGCGAAATTCAGAATATCCATATTTGTTCCTTTGATCCTCTCGTTCAAGATACCGTCTTGGCCGTTCAATATAACTTAGAAATTCAATAATTTCATCATCAAAAGATGAACCCGAATTATCCATTTTAAATAATGATAATAAATTTTTATACGTTAAACAAAACAAAACTGTTATGCAATGCTGTCATGTAATAAAAATAGGTTATGTTAGGTTAGAATCGCTCTGTTGTAAAAATGAAAACAAACCCTACACGCTTGCGTCAGACGTTATGTAGCCGATATCCATCCATCTTCGAGTAGATATCTATTCGATAACTTATGAAACCAATAAGCTTTAAACAGACGTTGAGAAACCCAACAGACGTGATTTTGGTAGTTTATGAGACCCATAAGCTTATGTAACCGATATGTTGTAGTTCGGAAACCGGGCATAAGTCTGCTATAAATTTAGACTCTTAATTCCGTATTTCTAAAAATGGCTAGTTTATTTATTACAACTGTTTCTGCATAAATGGTAACCGAATATTATACGAGGAGTGCCGTATGCACATGATCAAAAAAGTACTGCGAAATTTGTTGGTTTTATGTCCTAACTTTTATTTAAAAAAAGTGTCCACCTGGCTAGATAGATGGTAAAATGGTAAATTTTTTTCGCAAATAAAACTGTTTTTCCAAAAATCGGGAGAATGGTACGATAGATTTTACTCGGACTCGCTGTAACTTTTTTCTATGTTAGGGTCATGTTTTGATGAAGCAACCGAGTTCATCCGATTTTGGCAACAAGAATTCTGGGGTGCTTTCTTGATGCAACAATAACCAGAATTTTTAATTCGGTAACTGGAATCAACTAATTTTTGTTAAGTATATACATTAAGCCTTTTTGAACATTTTTATGTTCCTTGCAAAATTTCGTAGTATTTCTAGCTTTTGCGCACATACGATTTCTGTTCCCTCTGTATTTAACAATTTCAGACAACTGCACACGTCGTAGTAACCGATAATATTCCTTTATACGTCTCTTATAATTTTTAACTGACCGACATTGTTAAAGCCTTTTGAACTTTGAGTTCTAAATTTTCTAATTGTATTCCCAGAAATTATTGTTTCTATATTTAGAGCCTATGAGTAAATATTTTTGAGTGCCTCAAAACTTAAGTCCCACGTCACGTAATTGCACTTGGAAGTCGTACGAGTGATTCAAAATTGGCGTAATTCCTTTTCAGAGGTAATAGAGGCCCACTTGGAAGGTACGAGAAAAATATTTCTTGATGATATTAACGGTTGAAAATCGAATTTCAACTTTGCTATTGTAACGGAAATGGCCTGGGGTACTCACGTTTGGAATGGGGGGATCGAAATTGATGGTATTTCAGTAAATGGGGGCCCCATTTGCGCCCCATTTACTGTCAAATATGACACTGACAAGCGGGAAGTTTCGCACCTGTTCTGGAGATTTTGAGAACCATCTGGGTTACCTGGAGGAAACTATATAAGCGACGACGAGAACCAGACGGGGGGATTGAAGTGACTGGAGCGACCGGGTGCAGAAGAGGTTAAACCCCGAGAGTCTGAAGAGCGAGTTTTCCGTGTGTTTTCGTTATTGGTTGTAAAGTTGACGGTAATTTTGAAGTTAGTTTGTTCCTGTCCCGCATTTAAAGTTATACCGAGGTGAATAAAAGTTGGAAGCTGAAGAAAGAGTTTGATACCCGGCCATCCACGGTACACTATTAAGTATTATTTTGAAAGTGTTCCGTGTTTAATTAGAAGCATATTGGAATACTTAAGCATTCAAAAAGAAAAATTATGATTTTTGATTCAAATTACAAAAATGTTTGATATTAAAAAAGGTGTCTTCCGGAATTTTTTGATAAAAAGTCTAAGCGACATCCATGTTTTTTGTCACTGACAGATAGTTACAGGTGGATAGCCCTTGTCAATAATAATAATTTGTCAAGCTGTGACTTACTTTGAATTGCCTTTCACTTTCACGAATTTGCGGATATGCTATTAGTTATGCTACATAGAAATGCTACAGTAACATAGCAGAAGCGGAAAGAACTCAATACTTTCTGGAACCACTCGAGGAGAGTGGTTCCAGGAAGATAGGGGACCACAATAGATGTTCGGGTTCCAGACACAGAGGAACAAGTATTGGACATAATTGCAGAATAGCCTTTCAGGGACCCTCAGAACATTATACAACAGTTGTAATGTAAGATCACATTAAACCAATGGCTACTGAACACCGGTATAAATTGAGCAGCAGTTAATTAACCGAATACGAGAAGCTGCTCGAGAAGATTGCATAATAAGGTGATTACAAAGCCACTTGTTTGGAGTTTCAGACTTAAATGTACGTTTTTTAATTTGTAGACAAATTAATAATTCAAGGTTATAAATTTCGAAATAGGTTCCGTCATTCAACGATTCATGTTGCATTTACCGTTTATCCTTGTGCATCTTATTGTCACTTTCTCTATTTATCCATGGTTACCGGAGTTTTAAATAATTACGGATCAACAGGTATTTACGTAATGTTAATTACCTTGAAAAACATGGTTGCTGTTTTTCTAATATAGTTTTTTTCAAATTTTGCAGTTGTTTTTAATAACAATTAATTTTTTTCCTAATTTTTTTACTCAAACTAGTACTCGTAAAACACCGCCAGACCACACCTCCAGAAGAATGACGTCAATTTTAATCACCCTGTATGGCTGTTTTCGAAAAATATCTGATATCAGTTTGTCCCTTTTTCAAAACACTTGGCAAAAATTTAATTTTTGAAAGATCCTTATTTCTTAGGAAACATTTTTTTAATACTATGTTTAAGACCATATTGAGGAAAATCCAAATCAACGTTAATAGTAACTAGGTAATACTTTGCAGTTTAAAAATTAACAAGTCATCCGCACATTCAAATAGTTTCAAAATATTTTCATCAGTTTTTGCGTGCACAATCGCTCTCTGCTGACCGAAATCCTGCTCTTTTCGCCGAGCAACTTTAATTCAAAGCATGCCGTAACGCTGCTGAAAGACCTAACCGCTATACTTAATACTTTCAGCTCAACAATTTAAACTGAAAATTGTATGGATTCTTTTGGTATATTATAATCCACGACCCGGTAAAGCACTTCGTCAATAATAAGTCCATATTTTGACTACCCTTCTATGCGTACGGTTAGTCACTTTCGCTGCAAAATAAACAAGTTTTGCAAAAAAATTGTGATTTCAAGATTTCCGAAAAATTCTCCGTTTTTGTCTGAATATGAGTTATTGTGGCAATTAAAACCAAAGCAATTCGGATTTACGATATTTTCTTTTATTTATTCAAGTTAGTAAAACACGTGAATGACCAAAATTCTCAATTTCCAGCAGCTGACATGAGTCTTATAAGTCTTATTATGTATTCCCAGGTTCAAGCTGCTGTTTCCTATGTTCGCACTAACCAGTGCAAGGCCCTTACCAAAATGTCTATAAAATTACTGCACCCCTAGATTCCACTAACTCACTTCGTAAATTTAATTTAACATGGTCCGTATTTATGAAAGTGGTTCTAAACTAAGTTCCAACTAAAACGATGTTTCCTGCATTGTAAAACAAAATTTCAGCAACTGGCCTGAATTATAAGTCCCCATAAGCGCACGATGATTAGTTCAAAAATACAGTAAAGGGTGTTTTTCTTCATTTTAAAATGGTTGCTGATCAATGCCTTATTTAGTATTAATTGTCGGAATTTTTCTTTAATTAGTTTTAGGACAGTAGAAATTTCCACCTGAAGCTACTAAAAGCTGTTCCTCTTATAAATTAACTGGATACGACATGAAATTATAGCATTTAATATTTATCGGCTCGAGACTACTAGAGCACCTAGAAAACCTGCTAGATTTGGAAAGCGATTCGAATGAGATTTAAGTACATTTCTTACATCTAGTCCTTGTTCATCATACATTGACTCGAACCCAAATAAACTCCGTCAATGCTGCCAACTTCTAGTACTGTTCTGAAACTGTTGGATCTGCTCGGGGGCCACACAAACTTTTGAAATTATGAAGTTTATGAAGTGTTTACTGAGTTGCACTTCGATGTGGCTACAAACTGGTGAAAAACTTTTCTAATTTAATGTTCCAGCAAAGTGGGAAATAATTGTTCTTTTACAACATTATTTAATTTTTTAATTCGTTTTTAAAAACTATTGTCTTTTACAGCTTATGCTCATAACAGTTTAGTTTTCGGTTTTCCAAAAAACCTCCTCGCAAAAAGGCAGATTGATTCAAAGATTATAAACAGAAAGAGAAATAGAGCTAACACGGTAAAAGCAATTACATCTAATAGGAAATACTGATAAAACGGCATTGCAATCGATGCAGACTGCAAAGACTGTCCTCCTTTATGTTTTGCAATGTATTCGATCCAGAAAATGGAAGTTTCCAAAGGCGAAACAAGTCTGTCTTTGAATCGTTCCGAGAGGTCTTTCGCTTTGGTTTTTGTTCTAAAATTGTAAAGTTTAGATATGGCACATTGAAAGAAATGTAACTAATTCTGCTTACTTTGTACTCATGGCCTCGGAAATTGCTTCACTGATACTATCTTCAGTGGCATCTCTGAGCTTTAAAATAACGCCAGCACCATTTGATTTTAGAGCTTCGGCATTTAAAGGTTGATCTCCGAATTGAGGCATTACTAACATGGGAACTCCGCAATGAACTGCTTCAGTTGTACCCAATAAACCGCCATGCGATATAAACAAAACAGTATTAGGATGACCTAGAAATAATATTTATCAAATAAATTTCTTTAAAAACATCCAGAGCAATAGATAGGAACTAATTGAGTAAGTTATAACGATCGACTTACATAAAATGTCAAACTGAGGGGCCCACTTGGTCAACATGATATTACCAGGCTTTCCTGGCATATCATCGATTTCCCACTTCCACAAAACTTTTTGCGGCAATTTGGAAAATGCTTTTATGAAAGCCTTGAGCTGAAGATCTGGAAAAGTATGTCCTTTGACCAAGGATCCCAAACTAAAGTAGATTAGGCCTGAGGTAGCTTCGTTTGTCCATTTCTCTATGTCCTGAAAATTTAAATCGGATTAGTATTTCGCAATCCGCTTAGACTTTCATATTCCTATAATATTAATAGCAAAGTTGAGCGATGTTCTGGCTGAACTGAAGTAAAATTTCAGTTTTAAAGTCCGACTGTGTGCGATTTTGTGGAATTTACGGTAATCGGGTGCAAGGTCTAAACGTGTCTTAATATCGAACCGAAGTAAGTTTTCAAGCCAATCATTCACAAAAGTTAAGATGTTTATGTAAAAACAGTTTTCTAGTGCGTCGTTCTTAATATTTGCAAAAGTGTGTGTATCTCGCATACCAGTTGCTGTAGACCATTTTTCATAGATGCTATTTTTAATTCTTACCACAGGCAATTTTTTCGGCTTTTTCGATACCACATGTATACCACCGACCTCGACAATACTGGGTGTCAACGGCTTGGCCCCATGCAAAGAATAATGGGTGTTAAGTAACAGAAGGCTAGCTTTATGAGGATCAACTGGCTCGAACCCCGTATACTGAAGAGATAGTTTTCTCCCTGACCATTCCATCATAAATTTGTACTCAAGCACATTTTCTGAAAATCGCATTTACATTGAAAAACAAAAAATAATGCTCAGTGGAGGGCACTCCGATTTATTCTTAAAATGAATTAAAATATTTTACAATTTCATGACTTTAAAAAAGTAAACTATATTTTAATATGTTTGTGTGAAAATTGACGGGAAATTTTCTACATTTGCATAATGTTTAAATGAAAACCTGCCTACCTATATACATAAGCGTATTTTCCACACGTTGTAAAAATGTCATAGGTACTGGGTAGGCCATATAAGTCATTGAGTTATAGGATGGATTATTTGGCGAACCAAACCAATCCGGGTGCCAAGCCATCATTGCGCACGAACTTAATCCTGCAAAATTTGAAAGATTTATTTAAAAGAAAATTAATTAATAGGTATTCGGTTTCCATATAAAGACAGAAAATGACTACTGATAAACTTACTATCAGTTTTCCAGCTTGGAGCTCCTTTAAAGGTTTTAGTTCCAAGTTTCAGGTTATAACGAGTAGTGCGGAAATAATGTAAAATACATTTAGCGCTTTATATATACAGGGTGGACGAAAGCTATATCCGAACTTTCTTATTTTAAATGCAGACCCCTAATGTCTTAAGCATGGTGGGACTGGCCTTCCAATTGCGAGTTTGGGTAACCTTTGCTTGGTTAACTTATCTTTTTCAAATTTGATATGTCAATTGTTTAAGAAAAAAATAGTATTACATGTGTTTACGAAACAAGCTATATCTAAGGGACAGTTTTAAATTATAAACTCAGATTTAGTGGGTGGTTAGCTGAAAGTCCAAGACAACTCCCCAGATGACACTAGGATACCTATTTTGTACCATATGAGTGCATGCATACAGCCTCCAAACATTGACATAAAAGAAATAAAAAAATAAGTTTTTTTTAATGGGACCAACTAACGTTTTTGGCACTGTTTAGTTTAGTTTTTTATTGTATAATCATTGCAAATATTCAAACAGGACATAAAAAGTTTGTAGGTTTCATTAAAAAACTAATTTTTCGACTCTTTTTATATCAATGTTTGTAGGCTCCATGCACTCTTATTCTACAACATGGGTACCTCTAAGTAATATGGAAAGTTATAGGGCTTTCAGCGAACTACATACCAAATTTGAGTTTTGAATTTAGAACCGTGCTTGAGATACAGCTTGTGCCGTAAACACCTGTCCTGGCATTTTTTGAAAACAATTGACACAAATATACATACATCAAAAACTATAAGAGATAAATTAGCAAAACTAGTGTGGCTCAAACTCGCAAGTGGAAACCAGTTCAACCATGCTAAAAAAATAGAAGCGTACATTTAAAATAAGAACGTTAGGTTGTCCTTTTTGTACACAATGTACAGCTGGAGATCTAAATGAATTTTACATGGATTCTGCACGACTCGTTATTACAACACTAAAACAAGTGTAGTTTGGAAAACTTCTAATGCACGGTCTACATAAATCATCCGGTATAGGACTACTAGAGCAGATTATATCTTCAAAAGTTTCGGAATGTGAATTGTAAAATTGAATTTTAGACTTATATCAAAACACAAAAACTAAATATTTTTAAAAATGAATAGAAATTTTGAACTTTTGATCATGTGATCAACCGACAACAACGGTGCTGCGGTCCATATTGCGTATATTCGGCAGATGTCAAATTATTATGTACTCTTTTAAAGACCTCTTTACGGCCTTGTAAAACTACAGATAGACCATATACAATAAATTATTCAGTTTTGATTGAAAATACCAGAAATACGGCATATTTAACGCAAAAAGTGGAATCTTAATGTACTAGCGATAAGTAACATGTTCTTAGAAATTTAGTTAATTGACATCATTATTACTAGTTATTTATTATAAATGTATTTGTTCTAGTTTCGGCGAGTTTAACAGTATTAACACGGTAGAACCACTTTTAGGCTAGTAATTTTTCGACTGACGAATGAACATCACTGATTGAACAAACTTATTTTCTCGGACACATTTTTCTTCCAACTTCAATAGAGAAAATTTCATGGTAAAAATATAAAAAGATTATTTATCTGAAAAGGTACTTCCATTTTATTGACTTAATCATATTTAATAATTTCTCTCATTTCTATTTCTGAAAAAGTCTGAATAAAGCTGAGCTGTGTTCAAACATATTCCAAATTCAGTTCCAATTCCAAAGGTTCCCTCATTTAAATGATGAAATTTAATCATTGTTTCATGTACTACAAAATGCAATAAATTACGACTTACCAATAAAAGGAGCTTGAAATTTGTTGATCAATCCAAAAAAACAATTGGTGTTGAACATTTCCGTCAGAATGATATCAAACTGATTGTCCTCTTTTAAGAAATTTTGCAATTCTTCACTTTGCAATGACGGCTCACATGTTAAATCAGCAAAATATCCTATCATATGAGCTTCCAGATATCTCTGCAGATGATTTCCGGGAAAATCGCTCAAGTTCAGAAAGTTTACCAACGGTTTGTCGGACAAGAGAACATCTCTACCATTTTTTATATCCCCTACAATTGAAAAACTTGTTCTGGTTTTTCCATTCTTTGGTCAAATAATATATTTTTTGACCATGTATATTATTTAGTTACGCTATCAGCCCAACGCACGTTCCCACGGATGCAGCCGAACCAGCAACCCATTCCGGAGAAATAAATCGTTTTTAAAAATAAATCTTTTAAAACAAAATATATCAATATTTCACTGGTTTTATAGGACCTATTTGCATTAGCTTTGTGAACCGCTTATATGTACTGTTTGCTTACAATCGCTGCAGTTACAACAATAGCTGTTATCTCCTGATCACTGTTCACTATCGGCTGTCAGGTCGGTAAGTGTTTACTTTCTCATTCGTTCAAATAGTAGGACATTAAATAGTGTTGTCCCCAGGAGATTATACTTTCAGGACAATTCAATAATTTAATGTTTCAAATAATAAATGTAGATGGCTGATTGTCGAGACTGTAGTAATGATAATAAACCTATTGAAGAATACATCAAGCTAGAAGTCCTTGTGACTTGGTTGTTGGATTTTCTGCCCGCGGAATTTTTTATTTCTGTTTACTATTTCGCAATTTGAAAAGACTGCCCCGTTGAGACGAGGCGAAACCTTTCCAATAAATTAGAACTAAATTAAATTTTTATATATGTATGTAATACTAAGCACTTGGCCTATAAGTATTGGCACTTGGCCTATAAATACTTAAATAAAAGACGCGTTCAGGCGGTTATTATCTATAAACTGGTGATTTAGTTTCCTTTTGTGAATTCCGCCTTTTGCCACTAAATAGGACAGTTGCTACTTAATAGGGAAGGAATATGGATCGAGGAATTCACAACTAGAGACCTTTAACTATCGGCCTGTCAAAAAATGCTAGAGCAATAAATGAAGAAGGATGTTGATGTAAAGAACAAACCAGGGAATTGCATAGAAAAGAGCGACTATAAGAATAAATAAACTGATGGCACTCAGTGCCAAAAAACTGTTTGAACTCACGCTTTTTTCACAACTAGTCAAAATGCCGTAAATTAATTAAATTTTTACGTATTATGCTACTAAAATATTTTAATTTGAAAGTTTGGGAATTATTGTAATGATCTGATGAACGTGGAACCAATCTAATCGAAATCTACTGAATACTGTTTATCCTTCTTAGCATATGAAGATTTTACTTTCACTACTTTGAAAAACTTCGTCTGACATGAGTTTTCTTCCGGAGTACTGGAAGCTTTGGTTTCTTCTTCGATTGTATAATATTTTTAACACAAAACACATCGTTATTATAAATTAAACCTCGATTGTTTACTTAAATTATAATTATCTTTTAAGAACAAAAATAGTAGTTTTATCTAAGGGCTCGGATAAAATGTATTTGATAAAAATATTTGGAATTTTTTCAAGAATTATAAATAGCATGAAAGGCAATTATCTGCTATGAGTGCACGTTTTGTGACGACGTTCACAGGTTGATGCGATTACGTAACACTCGCGGCTTAATATGGCATAATTTTGCATGGCTGCTGCCAAGCCATGCAAAATATCTCCGGATTAATCAGTAATTATAAATCTTACTTGCCTGTCGTTTTTACGTGACTGATGATTGTTATATTATGTCCTCGATTACCCAGCTCTTGAAATAACGGCTTAAAAACATCATAGTGACTCTTTCCGGGATGTCCAAATATAACTAAAATATTGTAAGCATAACTGATTGGCACCGTTACGAACAAACCACTGATCAACAAGAAAAGCGTATATAATAACTTCATATCGTCACTCGACACACTGAAATAAAGCGATGTTGCTCAATGATGCGACCGATATCCAACTCCAATTAAATAATTAATTTTTTTGTCTGCGGCGTTATCTGTTGTGGCTCGGATATCTGTCTGGAAAATAAAAAATGTTTTATGAAACGAGGAACAGTCGTTGCTTAATGCGCTGTTGGTATTACCACAGCGTGCTTTTCTTTGTAGCAGGCGGAACTCTAGGAAATAATTGTATTTTGACTGTATTGACAACAAATGATAGGTGAGTAACGTTTTCCATGGCTTTCATATTGAGAAACATAGCATATTGTGCCGGTCATGAACTATTGTATGCATTATAAGGTATCATTTTATTAAATATGAGCAGCCAACTTTTTTATGATTCGTCGTTCTAATGCAGTCGGGTTTCTCTGGTACAATTTTATTCTTGCAGGCTCGCTCGGACGTCAGTCAATAAATTGGTTTGGGTCGTACGACTTCTCAATTTCGCAAGTACTCATCAATTTTGTCTGCCCCCTCAATGCCTAATTAATTTTATATAATACAGAAATTGTATTTTATAACAATTCGAAGCCTATCACTGAACAATTGAATTGGATGTATACCATTAAAGAATGTCAACGAAGAGTATAAAACATATTAGATGAAACCTAGACAGACCATACGATAATTGCCCACTTACGACATAATTTGTACTTTTTTCTTTCTTCAACTTACAATGAAAGACAAATTAAATAATTTAGTCGGTTAAACTAATCTCCATTGACTTACTAAAAACGAGCCGGAGATTTTCAAACAATTTCATTTTGACTTAAGCTTTGGTAATAAAGCGAAGTCAAGCCACAAATAAATTCAATAAAAAACGGATATTTTGTTGAAATAATGGCGGTTCGCAACAATTGGATGGCTTTTAACAAAATCTAAATTGATGCCCAGTTACCAAAACAATTTAAACAGCAATTGCTTCATTCAAAAAATTTTTTATATTTTATGATAACAAGCTAAATAATAGTTCCACAAATTTGAACTCTTTGCTTTGTTCGCTTTCAATACCTCGTGTGGTCTTTCCAATGCTACATTGCCATCTCGCGACACCATAAAAAAAGCAATTTCATCTGTCCCCAATAAAACATAGTTCGTTTTCCCCTGAAGCTGTCGGACCAGCTGGAATAGACTCGCTATTCCAGCTAGAATAGATAGAGAAAGTTTCCAAATCTGTGGTGTAACTTAGTAATAGTTGATATCAAACAATCCGCTCAGTTCTTCTCGTGTTTTCGCCCTTTCTCCAAAACTGCTTATAATTAGGAGTCTCTAGCTCATTAGTACGTCAAAGTGCGATATCTCAGTAACTATGAATTTTAAAAGTTTTACGTGTTTCTGAGATGCGGATTATACATTTTTTCCAGTGCAGGGGGTTATAAACGTGTGATGGTAACCAACTATGTTTTTTAAAATGGAACTCGCTTTTCGGATTTATCGTCAAATTATAATGTAAATTTATTTGTAAAAGTTTTTCCGAAAAGTTTACGGTTTTCGAATTATTCGAAAAAATATCAGAATTTTGATAGCTACGGGGTTCCACATAAATCGAATCCTGTACCCTTCCCGCTGCTAATTTCGGAAGAACGGAACTAGTTGACATGATCTTTGTTATGGGATCTGCTGATCAAAATTGTTTGCTAACACAAAGGATGTATGCCCAAAAATATCCCGATAAGAGACGACCCTCGGTCAGAAGCCTAGAAAAACTTAAGGAAAGATTTATTAAAACAGGCAATATCAATTATAAAAAATGTGAAATGGCTATTGCTCTGCAATTTGTGAGCCTTCTACCAGTTCTGCGACAATATCCAAGACAGCCGATATGCCCCCATCTACCGTTAGCTAAATTTTAAAGAGGAATGGGTACCATGATTACAGTATATCATTCCACCAATAATGCTCCTGATTTGGAGATTAGGAGAACATTTTGCCAATGGGACTTGGAAACGGAACGGCCAACACCTAACTTTTCCAAAATGTGATATCATCTGTCGAGTTAACTTTCACTCAAGTGGTAGCTGAAACCGTCATAATCTTCACCATTATTCAACAGAAAACCCAAAATTAGTGAGGTCAGTTAATAATCAGCCACAGTGGACTGTAAATGTTTGGGGTGGCCTTATGGATGACTTTATAGTTGGGTCACATTTCTTTCACGGAGACTTGAATGGTGTCACATATTTGTAGTTTTTGCAAATTGAGTTACGCGAACTTTTGCAAAACATTCTTGTTCATTTAAGGCAAAATATGCGGCTTCAGCATGACGGAGTTCTTGCGCACTTTGCGTTAAATGTCAGACACTATTTAAATCGAGAATTTCAAGATAGATGGATAGGCCGTGGCGGTCCCGTTTTTTGGCCACCTAGATCGTCAGACTTAACGAAATTGGATTTTTTTATGGGCTTACATAAAAAACATTGTATATCAAACTGCTCCGACTGCTGCAGAATATATGAGAGATCGAATAGTACTTGCGTTTAAAAATTGTACAAGCATTGAGATGTTACGAGAAGTAAATAGATCTGTTTTGGCAAGACTGCAGTTGTGTTCGGATCAAAATGGGAGACAGTTTGAGAATCTTTTACGAACACCGCACTTGTTTAAAAAAAATATCTTATTTAATTATTTATAGTTAATGATACATTTATAAAATTTAGTTTTTTATTTAATGCATTTTTGATGGGCGACATGTGTCCAGTTGACTTGATTCAAGCTAAAATTAAGCTATTTTCTAAATTTTGCCGAATAACTTAGTAACGGTAACTTTTAAGGTTACCACACCTTACATAAACTAGCTTTAAAATTTGACGGTAAATCCAAAAATTGGGAAAAAATTGGATGGTTCCATTTGAAATAACCAAGTTATTGAGATTAAATTAACGTATGTTAGCACGTAGCTTGTTTAGTCCTCTTTTAGGTCCACGAGACCGATTTCAAAATTCGTAGCGATTAGGGTACAGCCCCAATTTCTGTGGAAACCAGCAGCTGTCAAAATTTTGATATTTTTTCGAATGATTCGAAAACCGTAAATTATTTAGGTAAAACGTTTGAAATACGTTACATTAAAATTTGACACTAAATCCAAAAAGCGCAAACAAGGGGGGCTTTATTTAAAAAAATATAGTTTAGAACTACCGCACTTTTTTGTCTCACCCCGTCTATTGAAAAGTAATTTTACAATGTGCACCTTTTAAATATCGAAAACTTTCGTAGAATGAATTTTCTTCTAAAGTTTACATTTACTGAGATATGACACTTTGAGCACTAATGAGCACCCTGTATATGTAATAAATCGATCGTTATTATCAAATAAGTAAGATCAATACGATATGTCAAAAAGATAAGTGGGATAATTATGATACGTGTAATATAAAACGACGTATACGATAGATAAGTCAGCCAGAGTTGCACGTACAGGCGTAGGTGGATAACAGAAGAAAACTGATTGGACAGACTAGTAGGACAAAGCAGTACAAATGAAATACTGCACAACTTCTTTGAACTTATGAAAATTGTGGGCTTGAGAAAAGTATGTCATTTCTGCTTTAATAATGCTTCACATTCACAATTTTTTAAAAATAAACGATCTAGGGGGGCGCCCCAAACG